GCGGACAAAAATCGGTCCCGGCCGCGTTTTTATGGGTGTTTTCTTGTTTCTGGGTTGTGTTGCTAGACAAATCGAGGGTGTTTGGTTGTTTTGCTAGAAAAATAGAGGGTTTTTGGTTGTTTTGCTAGAACAATAGAGGGTGTTTGGTTGTTTTGCTCGAAACATAGAGGGCGATTCCTGGTTTACCAGTTGGTTCACTTAACTACAGGGCCATATTTTTCGCTTAGTAAGAGTATGCTGATTTTTAGAAAAGGCGGTTTCAGCCACGGCTTTTTGCAAACTGGGCCAAGTGGGCTTGGCAAAGGAAACCAAAAGGAGACCGACGCCATGTTGGGGTCAACAAGTGGGGGCGGTTTCCATGGGAACCCCAGAGCTTCAAAGGTTTCAAGTGGACTTCCAGCCCCGGAAGGTCACAGGTATGTGAAAAGAGGGCCGGGAAATCCTCGAGCTGAATCGGTGTTTCCATGTGGGATATGGTTGATCAAATTGGTCCTTTGAGTAACTTAACTGCCACCGGGAAGAATTTTGGAGTTCGAAAAAGAGGTGCTCGCAAGAGCACGACCAGAGGTGTATCCATTTTGTTTTTGTTGTGTTTTTCCAACTCACTCCCAAATTCCCAGAACTTGGGCTTTAGTCACCTTTTTGGGCTGCTTCGACCAAATTTTAGTTGCAGAGAATGGGTCAGCTTTTTCTGGTGAGAGATGGTTCCAATGAGATTAAATCGTAGGGAACCCTGAATTGGTGGTTTGGATTGATGGTTGGATGTGAACCCCCGGCCTTAGCGGGCTCCAAACCGCCAATCAGGAAGCTGAAAACCAAAACGGAGCCCCGATTTTCCACATGCAGTTGGCTTTTTTGATTTTATTATAGGTGTTTTTCTTTTAAAAAGAAATGTTTGTTTAGGTTTTACCAATTAGCTTTTTAGTTTTTTTTTGAGGACCGAGTTGCTATGACTTTTGCACTACTTCTCTGACAACCGCCTTACAAGTCCCCCGCTTTGGGAACGCTACAAGCGGCTACATTTGTTTTTTCGGGTTTCCAACAACCGGGTTTACTTTTTTGGACAGCCCTCACAAGAACTCAATTTGAATCAGAGGTGCATTTTGCCAAGGGAGGCGAGGACTAACTTTTTGCCAACTAATGGGTTTTCCGAATGAAACCACTAAAAGTTAAACTTTTAGCAGGAGAGCAGAAAGCAACCGAGTATTGGTCTTCCTTTTCGAGGTCAAGTTTCTGTGAGGTCCAAGTCCGCCGGCGCACACAACGGCAGAAGTACGGGTTTGAAGTCCGCAAAGCTTTTGGAAGGACATGTTGCTGGCTCATAATCTCGGTCTACCTAGAGTCTCCATGACCCTTCAAAAGTAGGTCCATGACCCCATTATTTAGGGTAATGACCCCATTTTTAAAGGGTCCTGGAGACTCTAGGTAGTGTATTTTACCCACAACTAATGCACTTTTGTCAGGAGTCTGACGTTGCTTGGAAGGATCAAGCAATGCAGGGTCTCACGTAGCGATTGGCAAGGTTGTCTAACTTATCGATGCTATTCTTGGGTGGACATATCATTACCTGGAATCAGCAACTGAAAAATCTCCGCTAGAATGGGTTGTGGAACAAAAGGACCCTTTCTCACTCCCTGAGTTCATGGACTTTATACTTTTTGGGAAGACCGTTTTAGTGGTAAACAAACAGTTTGGACTTTTTTTGGGCCATCCACTCAGCCAGTGAGCTTTGGGGACCCATTTCCCTTTGAAAAAACCCTTTCGGTCAGTCAACTTATGCCTTGAAGCATGGGATGTCTTTTGACAAAGAATCCGTCAATTTGGTTCACGCCGGATGCCAAGGTCAGTTTTCGCGGCGAAAGCTGAGGTAGTTGACCGGGGGTGCAAAAGGGGAGGTCTTAGACATGGGCCATAGCGGGATGGCAGAGTTGAGCTTGATTTCGGGCTTCCAGTTTCAGCATCCCAAGCTTTGAAGTGGTGAAATCAATCTCTTGTCTTGGTGGTTCCCAGCCATTTCCTGAGGTCTTTGCTTGTTTGGTTTCCTTTTAATATATATATATATATATGTTAGCTAAATTCGAGAGTCATGAAATGGCCGTTTATGATAGAAGGATACCGTATGTGTACGATGGGGTGCGCGTGCTGCGTGCGTACAGTGCGCGCGGTGCGCGTGCAGTGCGCGTGCGGTGTGCGAGCGGTGCGCGTGCGGTGTGCGAGCGGTGCGCGTACAGTGCGCGCGGCGCGCGTGCAGTGCGCGTGCGGTGTGCGAGCGGTGCGCGTGCGGTGTGCGAGCGGTGCGCGTACAGTGCGCGCGGCGCGCGTGCAGTGCGCGTGCGGTGTGCGAGCGGCGCGCGTACAGTGCGCGCGGCGCGCGTGCGACGCGCGTGCGGTTTGCGAGCGGTGCGCGTACAGCGCGCGCGGTGCGCGCACTGGGTTGGTTGTGGCCTACTTTGTGCTACTTTGGAGTTCAATGATTCAGCTATCATACTGTATGCTAAAC